TAGTAAGGCACTTGTTACTAGTAGCATTCTGAATGTCGGTTCTTCTATCCTTTTGCTGCTTCAGTCTCAGTCACCGACCTCGCAGGATTTGAGTGTTTGGGAGGCGACCGCCTTTGGCTCAGCGATTAGCGATGCACAGAATCATGCAAGAGCAAACAATAATGTCACAAAAAGTAAACATGTTTTATGCCTTTTGAACACACGCATTCAAGACATGAACCATGAATTTCGGCATCATTTTCACCAGCAGTAATCTGAACCACTAGCCCTGGTTGCTGTCAAGAACCTTTCTCACCAAAAGATGCAGTGAATAGGCAAGGTGCTTGCAACCTAAGGTGAATCTTTTTTCATGCCTTGTTGGCACAGGCAGGCAAAAGCAGAAAAAAAGGATGAAGGAGATGGAAGGGATCGAAGAGAAGCAGAGAAGAGCGGTTCAAGACAAGTTGAATAATGTTCAAAGTACATGACAAGGAACTTGTAAGACTTCCGAGTTGCAAGGATTATCACATCATTGTGCTGAGAAATGTCTAAGTCCAATTCGGCGATTGAAGAATCAACTGATCGAGGGGCTTGCACTACTCAACTCTCAACCCGTGTTGTGATACACACCAATGTCAGGTTTGCTTGCCATGCCCTATGCTTTCTCTTTAGTCTGGATTCTCAGAGATGCGGAAGACATTTCTTGAGATGGGAGAAGCTAAGAAAGCGAATGATATCGGACGAGTCCAAGGATTCCACAATTATGCAAAAGGATCCTAAATCATGGCGAATAAGAAACCGAAAAAAAGACACCATCTGGAATCGACTTCGTTTGGAACAGAGTTGAAGAAAGGTCTAAAGAAGAAAAGAGAAGAGCTAAAGAAGAAAGGTGCCTTTTTCTTGTTTTTGACAATTCTTATTTAAACACTTTAATTTTTTTGTTCCCGACCACAGGACCTGCGTAGGACCGGACCTTCTGGCAAAGGTTGAGATGAGGCATCCACGTCTTATCAAGTGAATAATTCTACCAGATATTAAGGAATACCCACGCCCATATACTCTATAAAATAAGGGGAGGGGATACTAAAGGATATTAAAGGGTTCTATAAATCCCTTTCCACATTTCTCTTCCTCTCTCATTGGCCAGGCAGGTTTGGTTGCTGCACCTTTGGTGCTGATTTTCGTGCCTCGTCGACTTGGCGACAGACAGGACAAGTGCGAACTATATATTAGACCTTTCTTCCTTTTCTTTTTCTTTGTTTCTAATAGCGATGGCCTCCAACCTACTAACCAAACTATGCGAAACTAGGATGCCGTGTTTATTTGACCAAGACTCTGACCCCTTCTGGGTGAGCAAGCTTTAGAAACGCTTATCTAATTTTAATAAAATATAGACGGGATTCGACAGCATTTGTTCTTAGGTCACTTGCTCTGCGTATACGGCACACCTTATGGTGTGGGCGATGGAAGCAGAGGTGCGCGGCGGTACAGTTGTCCCCAAGTTCTTCGGTTTTGGACTCACCCAACACTTTAACAACAAAGCTTTATAGTACACGTAGTTACACCTTGTATATATAATTTGAATGTATTTTCTATAAGTTTTCTTTTTAAGACTTTTTAAGACAATTTGTTTACCTTTTTTATTCTTTCATGTTCCATCTCTTTTCTCTACAAAAGACAGCAAGAGGCGTTCTTTTAGCAAGAAGACACATAGAGAAAGCTTTGTCTCGTTGCTTCTGATCAAGTCCGCACACCAACCATATTAGTTATCAGAAACTTGAGAAATACTTTTTACACCTGTTTCTAGAGGTTGCGTTTCCAAAACGTTTTCCCACGTGCAAGGGCCAAGCTTTGCTTTTAAAACGCCTCAGGAGAACCGCCGGGGCGTCCCCAGCGGTCGCTTGGCCTTTGGCTTAGGCTGGAGATTGACGGAAACGATAGGACTGTTGAAACCGATCTTCGAAGCGAAGTTGTTGCGCTCATTCTTGTAGAGTCACACCACAAACAAGATCTAGAGATATATTTTGTCTTTGCATATGACATGATTTCTTGAGTTGAAGTACAAGAAACAAGATACTCCGTATTTTCAGCTTCCGAACACACTGAATGGCTACCGACCGCCACAGCCACGGCAGATTGGTCTGCGCTGGCCCATGCCGCCTTTGGCTCAAAGGCGGCGAAGCGTGCCAAACGCCGAATGAAGCTTTTTGGAAGCAACCTCTTTAAACAACTGTGTAGTATAGCGTCCTTGCTCCTAGTTGTCTCGTCTTCTGTCTCCACTTGGTTCCACAAGAGCCTAGCTGCTTAGCTAGACTGACCTTTGTGACGTGTGCTAAGAAGGCCGATTGTCTTTTTCCTGCTTGGGGTCTGCGCTGAAGTGATTACAGAAAGGAGAAAGTGAAGTTTCCCTAAACATCTAGGAACCAACCGATTAGTGCGAGCGTGAGCTATCCCCTCCACACTAGTAGCTTAAGTAAGCTACTAGCTACCCAGCTACTAGCTACCTACCTCTATAGCTACTGCCTCCTACCTCGGCCTACACCCCTGGCTTAACAGAAGTTCTCTTTAATTTATCTATTTGTCTCCACGACACTCCAAGGTTTTGGATATTTCTTGTTTCACTGCGAAAGCAGAACGTTCGCAATTGCGCTATGGATGAGTGGTGTTGTACGTGTTTCCTGTGTGCATCCCCGGTCATGGGTTGGTTAAAAGTTGGACATGTTATGCGTGCCAAGGTTGCGCTTCAGTTTGGAAGAATGCATTGGCCCTTTGTGACCCAGTCACGATGCAGTCATGATGCAGCTTGCAGGCCAAGAAACTGGTAGAGCTCTTCCTAATTGTGGAGCTTTGGGGAGCTTCGGCAGCATTTCTAATCCCCTCACCCTTCTTCCGAAGAAGCAACCCCAAATGTTGAAGAAAATTTTTTGCGGGTCGATCGTTTTTTTGTTCCAGCTTGAGGTTCTGCATTCTTCGGATCCGCCTTTGACAGCCCCGTTTGCTTGTTCCGCTCTTCCCTTTTTGTGCTTTGTTTGTTGCTCCACTTGTGCCATTTGAAGGTTTTATGATTAGGCTCGACAGCAGGCCACACGACTTGGCCTCGTGGAGGGGTTCAAACTGAGGATATTTGCTGAGTACAGTTGCCGTGCACCCAGAAGCGAAACACCAAAAAGGAAACAAGTTCTTTGTAGTTGCAGAGCAGAACAACCTCAACCCTCGTCAGCCATTTCTACTACTGTAGGTTGGAGACCTTCGCTATTAGGTTGGAGACCTTCGCTATTAGGTTGGAGGCCATTGCTATTGGGGTGGAGGCCACTCTCTCTTTCCAGCATCGAGGTGTGCGCCTCGCTGAACATTTCGCAGCTGGGCATTGCCACAAAGCCGGCAGTGGCCTTGTCTGTGACCGGTGCCTTTGCATTGACCTTCGTGCGGGCACCTGATCTTGGCAAAGTGAGCGTTCGCACACAGCTACAGGGCCCCGCCGCCACATTTGGATTTAAAGGTTTTATAGAGTGAATTGTCGCAAGACTGGCAAGAGAACCTGGCAATTTCTGGAAAGAGTGCTTGGACTCTTTTGGTCGCTGCACAAAACGAAATGCAAAGTCCCTGAGGTTCCAGCAAAGCTTTTGACAAAGGTCAATGTGTGGCCCCAAGATTTTCCGACTGCATGCCTGGGCCTGAACCGCTTGGCCTTATCTCCATCATCTCGTGTTTTGAGGTGCTTTCGAATCTGGTTTATATTGCGAGCGCTTTGATGCCTGGATCCCAGGAACCGTAGATTCGACAAAGAAACGCCAAGTGAGACTACTCGTACGTAGCTAATAGTCCTTGTTCCACTCTGAAGAGTTGAGGTTTGTTGCAACGGGCTTGATGTTGCCTCAGAAGGAGCCGGAGCATGCGGAGCAGTGAGCGACAGAATTTCAGATTGTTACTCAAGAGAGGAGACATGAACCCGCCGTTATGACCAGTGGACCGGAACGGTGGCGGTCCTTGTCGGAAGAAGGATTTGGGCCTTCAACTCGTTGTGACAAATTCCAAGTCGGAATAACAAACATGAGGGACCTGAGAGACATAAGAAGTAGAAGAGGCTGTTTGCAAATTGTTTCACACCTTTCTTTTTTCCTGCATTCTATTTAAGGACACATTTTAAGGAAGTAGCCTGGCTTTGAGAGGCCCCGCCGTCTGAAATCCAGACAGTGAAGCCGTTGGACACTCAAGGCAACACGAACAGAAACCTCTTCACATCGAATCGTTCGACAGAAATGATTCATGCTTAGTTTAGAGTGTTGTACATATGCGCAGCTTTGACATGAAACACTTTCATGAAACGCTAATTGCCCTAAAACACCCAAGCTTCAACGATTCCTTAAAGATTCCTAGAAGGGTGAGGCACAGTGGCACGTCCACCGCGCCGGCCATGTCGCTTCTTGTTCCAATTCTAATTAAGTTCTAATTCTAATTCTTGGTTCTAATAGCTTCTTGTTCCTAGTAGTAAGGCCAGGAGCCCCTAGTAGCGTCCTTGCTCCTAGTAGCGATGCCAGGAGCCCCTGGTAGCTTCTTGTTCCTAGTAGTAAGGCCAGGAGCCCCTAGTGGCGTCCTTGCTCCTAGTAGCGATGCCAGGAGCCCCTGGTAGCTTCTTGTTCCTAGTAGTAAGGCCAGGAGCCCCTAGTAGCGTCCTTGCTCCTAGTAGCGATGCCAGGAGCCCCTGGTAGCTTCTTGTTCCTAGTAGTAAGGCCAGGAGCCCTAGTAGCGATGCCAGGAGCCCCTGGTAGCTTCTTGTTCCTAGTAGTAAGGCCAGGAGCCCCTAGTAGCGTCCTTGCTCCTAATAGCGATGCCAGGAGCCCCTGGTAGCTCTTTGTTCCTAGTAGTAGGGCCAGGAGCCCCTAGTAGCGTCCTTTCTCCTAGTAGCGATGCCAGGAGCCCCTGGTAGCTTCTTGTTCCTAGTAGTAAGGCCAGGAGCCCCTAGTAGCGTCCTTGCTCCTAGTAGCGATGCCAGGAGCCCCTGGTAGCTTCTTGTTCCTAGTAGTAAGGCCAGGAGCCCCTAGTGGCGTCCTTGCTCCTAGTAGCGATGCCAGGAGCCCCTGGTAGCTTCTTGTTCCTAGTAGTAAGGCCAGGAGCCCCTAGTAGCGTCCTTGCTCCTAGTAGCGATGCCAGGAGCTTCTTGTTCCCAGTAGTAAGGCCAGGAGCCCCTAGTAGCGTCCTTGCTCCTAGTAGCGATGCCAGGAGCCCCTAGTAGCTTCTTGTTCCTAGTAGTAAGGCCAGGAGCCCCTAGTAGCGTCCACTGCGGCCATGAACCTACGCCTCTACCTAAGGCATGGCCTTTTGGCTGCCGCAGGCATTTTGATCTTTAGCCCAGCAGGCACGCTGTCGTGGCGAAAGGTTTTCCGGCTTGGGGACTCTTCCCCAGTGTCTTGTGCCGGCCAGGTCACTCCTTCTATCCCCGGCTAATACAGCAGATGGAGGACATGGCAGTCTTGCTTACCTAGAAAGAGAGAGGGAGAGACAGAGAGGCGATGTAACAGCTTTGGACAGACAAGAGGTGCTGCCACAGCTTTAACCAGGAGCCTTCGAAGTTTCCATGCTGCATCAAGTGGGTGGACCCCTGCAGAAGTTGCACTTGTGTGGGGGTGCAAAGGGATTGAAAAGAGACCCCTGGAGGTCCATCTTTTGTTTTGTGTTCATGTGCCACTGCGTTACTTTGCCCTTTGCAAGCCAGGCATATGCTGGCGCTTGTGTGGTGTATCTCCTCATTGCTGTCCCTGGGTGAGATACACGGCCGATGCATTGCGCTTCACATTCAGTGTCAGCACACTCTCGCAGCCGATGTTGCAGGTACATGCTCTTTGGAGACGCAGCACAGCCAAGTGCCGTGCGCAACATTGGTTCCTTGATGTTGATAATGATCTGATGGGGCACGGAGAGGGCACTGGCAGCACACGAAGCCACAATATCATCCCAAGTAAATTACTTCAAAAGTTCGATGAAAGCACACAGAAGTGAGCGTCTCGTAGTTTCTCCGCTTACCGTTTAACTTCTTTTAACTTGATCAGACCAATTTTTGGACTTCGCCTTTGGTGACGAAGCCAGATGCCAATGGTGAGCTTTCATGGTGTCCCAAGGTTTGGATCGGAGCTTGGTGCCATTGCCTGACCTTTGGCCTGGGCCTCGGGGATCTTCAGCATCTCACGGCAACTGCAACTCAATGCCTGATGCATCTGGACTATCTGGACTCGCTATTGTGTTGAAAGCTGTTTGCAGCTTGGATGCTTCCCTGTCACCCGTTGTCGAAGGTGGATGAATACCTTGGCTGCGCTGGGATTAGTGGTCAAGCTCATCCCAAATCAGGACTGAACCTCATGGAACATGGAGGCCATCGCTCTTAGCCGCTACTAGGGTGGAGGCCATTGCTACTAGGGTGGAGACCATCGCTCTTAGGCTGGAGGCCATTTTGAACATTGTCTTCATGCACGTTGCCATACGTCGCCTTTGAACGTTCCCACGCCCAGGCCTTGGTGCTCTCCTCAGTTCTCAGTCACGGCTTCCATGGGTGAGTGAAGCTGAGCTAGTCTCAGGCAATACTATGCCAGCATTCTTGCCCCTGGAAGCAATGGCCTCCAATCTAATAGTGATGGCCTCCAACCTACTTGCGATGGCTTCCAACCTACTGGCGATGATGCCGGCATTCTTGCCCTTGTTCAAATTACAGAGCTTCTGTTGCAGTCTTCAGTGGACCTTGCCTCGCTTGTCTCCGTTGAGCTTCAGCTTCCAGACAACTGATCGAAACTTCCAGCCTAACAACAGCCCGAGTTATCCCAAGTTCTGAATCGCAGAAAGGTCGTTCTACAGTTTTGTTGACACTTCTAGCACTTTTACATAGCCCAAAGCGACGCAAAACTGCCCACCTCGTTGTGCTGATTCGAGCACCTTCCTTCTTGATTGGGTTCGAGCTCTGCGTGAAGCTGCCATGGAATGACGAGATGGTGCTTGCCCCCCAAAATGCTGACGGTACAAGTCATCGCACTGGACGGGGAGGCGGGACCTGGGGTTCATCCCAAGCAATGCTTTTGGCACATGAACATGAAAATCTGCCTGGAAAGCCTGACAATCAGCTAATGGTAAGTTCATCATACCACCCGTGGAAGCCGAGGTCTTCGGCTCCGAAATTCTTCTCAGAACCAAAGAGGGTCCTGAGGGTCCTGGGTTTCAGGCGATCTGATTTCACTCTCCGTTGGCAATCGCCCAGTTCCTTTGTTTGTTGAAGCTTTTGACGAGTTCCATGATAATGCAGCTTGTAATCCCCCAGTGTGTTTTCCTGCTCTACACTTGAAGCTTCACCTCAGTCTCTCGTATATTTGCTTGGATTCGATCAATAGCCAAATTGTTGGGCCATTGTCGATCCTGGTGCTGCAAACAGCTTCCGTCGCGCTCTCCAGCTTGAAGCGATACGATGGGCATCGGAAGGATCACGAGAGAACCAAATAGAACTTGTGGACGAGATGGTTACCTTGACCGCAAGAGATTACATACATTTACATTTGCATACTACACAACCATATATGAATTGCTGAGGCAGGGTCGAAGGTTTCACACTGCGGAATCTGTCAGGTTGTGCTGGAAAGCCTGGTGCCAACAACCCAAACAGCTTCTTGGCATTATATAGAAGTCAACTCACCCATCAGAGCACGTGATAAGAGCGCTCTTTTGAGCATGTGCGCTCTAGAACCGCGCGCATTTTGCCGTTCGAGGTCTTTGAGTTGAAGGAAGCTATTTGGCGGCAGTCAAAGACGTGGGCGCCATGCTGGCAACGCCTGATCGAAGACCGAGAAATCTTGGACACCGAGGCGAATGCTCCTCCAGCGGCGAAGGGGTCAACAGGACTTCACCGACCCACGTCTTTGGGACACAAAGTAGCATTAGAAGCTATTAGAAACAAGTGCATCGCTAGTAGTAACAAGTGCCTTACTAATAGTAACAAGGACGCTACTAGTGACAATAAGCTAATAGCTTTATTGTTCCTATAGTAGCGATGCGAGGAGCCCCTAGTAGCGTCCTTGCTCCTAGTAGTACGGCCAGGAGCCCCCTAATACACGTCGACGCATACATAGTCGATGTTGTCACTTCGAAGAGGTCCTTGGGGAGCTCTATGAGAACCAGGTGGTCTTGCAACTGGTGGACGCTTGGAGGTCAAAGATGCAGTGACAAACATGTTCAATTCAGACGCCATTGATTCACCAAGCAAACCCTTCAAAGAAAACGCGCTCAAACACACGCTAAAAGGATTGGCAGATGAGGTGACAGCAGACCCTTGGGACCTCCTGCTGAGCCGACCACAGCCTCAACAAAATTGCAGCCCTCCAACGAAGGAGGAGAACACGAGAGAGAGAGAGAGAGAAAGCTGAATGAATCTGAATACACGAAACCTAGGGCCAAAATGATCGGTGACTGCCACCTGAGTTGATTGATCCACAAGACGAACGCTGCAGGAAGTTCGTTGCTCTGCAAGGCGAAGCTTCTACTATTACCATGAAGAGACGCAGGTGACTTTGGTGCCTTTGCATTATGCTGCACTAGCTTTTGAATCAAGAAAGCTAGGAAGAGTCTTTTAATTTCTTGACTGACTGCATTCTTACCAATAACAAGAAGCTATTAGAAACAAGTGCCACGCTAGTAGTAACAAGTGCCTTACTAGTAGTAACAAGAAGAGAAACTTGATCGACCGTCCTCGGTTCTCATCCCACAGGAGCTTCGGGTGCGGAAACCCATCGCCAGAAGTCCTCCGGAGCCAGGCGAGGGCTTCGAGGTCAGTCATGCGACTCTTTGATGAGGCAAACAGGTAGCATCTTCATCATGGTTTGAAACAAAGTGCATGTTCTTGTTTCGTGGTTAATGTATGTTAATGTATTCTTTCACATCTATGTGGTTGTTTATCGAGGAAGGCATCATGTTTGGTCTTGGAAGTTTGCCACACTATGCCTGAGGAGCTATTGCGCGGCAACAGAAGGTGATCGAGGCAATGGAAGCGATGGCTTCGCAGGATTTGGATCAAGCGCTTCAGCTCATCCAACGCCTATTCGATGCCATCGAGGCACTTCCGCACCAGGTTATCGGTCAATCCGTCCCATGGTCAGTTTGGTGATTTGGGTGTATTAAATATTACCAGTATATATTTGGTACACACACACACCCATGCACCCGCGTGCTTTGTGTTTCCTTGTCTTCTTTCATTTGCCTTCTCTTTCCATGTAACCTCTTTTTTGAGAGTTCGTGCCAGGCCCAAAAGCACGACGTGGTTGCCGTTTCTCTTTCGGTCAGTCTCATGTTCTGATGATTCTTGACACCTCTGCTTGAGTATTTACAGAAAAGTGCACAGAGGCGTGCCAACATCCCAGTGATTGGTCTCAATGGCATACAAATAATACCTGGTCGTTGGACAGCCGCCTAAGGACGCCTTCATAAAGTTGCAGGGAGTGAGTTGGTGGTTCCAACAGGTTTCAATTTTACTGGATGTTTGATGTTGAGCCACGGGGTGGTCGATGCGATGATGGTTATCAGGTTGAGCCTGGGCCTTGGAAAACCGAGGACGGGTTCAGGGCTTGATCCTGTGCCAGAACAGATTCAGCCTTTGGAGGCTTTGTCCAAATCGACATTCGGATATTCTTGGGTATCCATTAGTATCCATCATGATGCCAATGCATCAGTTTGAGCAGTCAGGCGAAATCTGTTGCAACTGCCAGCTCTCGGTTCGACGTCAGGACTTGCTCTATTTCCTCCGTGAGGATCTGGCTGAGGCCCCCGCCTCCACGTTGAAGATGGCGCTGAGGCACCAGGCCCGCGAAGCCGTTCGGCGGTTGCATAGATATGCACGTGAGGACGCAACCTTGATAGGTTGGAGGCCATGGTTACTAGGTTGGAGGCTGTTGTTATGTGCAACATCGAAAATGCTCGTTGATCAGGTCATGAACCATTTGAACGCAGAAGATCCTGGGCAGTTTGGCCACTGGGTGACAAGGAGGACACGAGTGACACTGCTTACATGTATCTAGCTGGGTCCAGGTTCAAGTCAGTCTTAAGGTGCTGCTTTTCATTGTATATTTTTCCACATCCTTGTCATAGGTCGAGAGACTACTGTACCTCGTGATAATATGGCCTAAGGCAAAATGATGGATGTCTTGCGCTGGCTGAGCCCGCAAATCGTACCACACCTGGCTCCTCGCTTGAAATGAGTCAAGAACAAATTACATCCAGGTCACCGGTTCTTTTGCAACAGGGCCTTTGCAGAATTTTTGTCAAGGTGCTTTGTGCAACGAAACTGCCTTGTGTTAGTTATGCTCACGTGATGCATCAAGCTGAGCGACAACACAGTGAGAAAGGCCTTCAAATGGTGAGTTGTTGGGTTGTTTGCGCGGGCTGGGCTTGCTGCGATCGTCAGTGATTGGATCACAAGTTGAGTATAAACTTTATTAACGCAAGAGCGATTACCCATTGCCGGAGGGAATTCTTAAGGCCATCATCCAGGGACTTCCTTAGTCTGCAGAACATCAGTCAGTGAGGAACAGTGCAGATTGATCTGGTCGGACTTGATATAGTTAGTAGACCTTTCCCACAACGAGAGCATCCAGCATCCATTTGATGTCGAGCCATGAGAAGTCAACCTGACGTGCAACGGTGGCTGCTGCTGCTAGGAGACTGGGGCAGAAAATGCTGGGGCTTTGGCCTTTCGCGAGTCGTTCCTTTATCGATACACCGTATAATTAGTAAGTACCTGATTGAAACCATAAGTAAACTGTGCTTGACCTTCAGCTGCCCGAGAACATAAGCCTCCTAGTTGTCCCAAAAAATGCTGTAGATTTTGCCTTCCTGGCTGCTTGAACATGTGCTCTCTGGAGGAGCAGCTGTGACATTTTTCGTCTTTGCTCCTCGTACCTTGGCGAACTTCCGGCAGCTTACTTAAAGACTTAAAGACTTAAAATATTAACGCTTAAGTGGAGCTTTTGCAGCTCTGAGGTGGACTGCTGGTGGGTTTGGTGGTCTTAGCACTTTTGGGTGGACGTTGCCCACAACGTCTCCTGCGGCGCAAGACCAGAGCATCTTGGCTGACAGCTTGAGAACTGAGGCCAACAAAACGTGAACACGAAGCACAGTGACTGACCAAGAAGACCGACATCGACAAAACGCAAAAGAACTTGGACAAATAAAGCAAAAGGATGATAATTGAGTATGTCAATTTCGGAAGAGATTGGAACATGCTGAAAATACGATAGTGCAGAGCCAAGTCGATTGTGCCTCAGGACTCGGAGTTGAAACCCATCGTTGAGACCTCTCAGGAGCTTTACTATGCTTTGCTTCATGAAGCCTATAGACTTTGTTTACTCTTTGGTGTTTGGTTTGTTTCAATGAAGTGAGATTTGTATATTTTAGGTTTTGAAGCTTTGAGTGGAAGTTCGAGCAAGGTTTTGAGTATTGAGCAGCATGACCACGTCTTGCTTATATGTCGAAAGGACACCACAAACTAGATTAAATGAAGAGACCCAGCAACAAATGGTGCATAGTTTTGCAAAACTTTTGTGCTCTTGATCACGGACCTCTCCATTTCCCGCAGCTTCCTAACCGCCTGTCGCAAATCACAGGACGAGACCTCCAATGATGGAGACTTTTGGCTGAAGGTCTGAAGTCATGAAGCTCCCAAACATGGTTTCCAGAGCTGCGAAGCATTGCGAAGCGTATTATTCTTTTGGAAGTGGTTGTCCCCAAATGGGACTTTGACAAGATGTTGCCCTGCCAAGTTTGAGGACTGGGGCGCCACACTGGTGTTGGTCTTTGAGGCAAAGGATCCCATGACCAACGTGTGGAGACTCAGGGGTCGTCGTGGCAGGAACTTCGTTCGTAGAATGCCAGTCCTGGGGAACTCTGGGGAACTCACGAAAGGCAAAGGTTGACAATGCACATCGCCTTGCACGAAGTCAAGTGTTACTGTAGGTTTCAAGGACCCCATTCTAGATAGTATGGATGCTGAGTACCTGCTCTTGAGGTACAGATCAATGCAAATTATCACTTATCACTAAGCGTATTGACAAATTCATGGCATATTTGACATGAATATGAGAAGCGGAGTCTGCGTCAGGGCGCTTGAACGGCACGTCGTAGAAGGAAAACGATGGAAAGAGAGGTCCTTCGTCCTTGCTCGTTTTTGTTGAAACCACGACCCTCCAGGCACGTGCCTCCCCAAATTGGGCCAGGTGCAACAATTGAAGATCCGGGCAGACGAGGACTACTTCAGTTTTTCGCATTCAACGAAACACGGCAATCAGACCTTTCTAGTTGGGAGATTTTGAGAGCAAATTGGTCCTTGAGCTCATGAAGATAATGATTTTCTACATTTTTAATTACGCTTTTTGTTTCTGCTCTCAAGATGGACTTTTGGAGAACTCTTGGACGCTGGAAGAGAGCGACAGTGATGAGCACGGTGGGTTGAGTCCTGGCGAACTCTTGGAGCGGCTGCGCAATGCAGGCGGTGCATGGCGGTGCTGCGCGACCGTCGCGGCGGTGTCGTATGGTGTCGTTGTCAGCTGCATGCTGTTTGAGCGGCTTGGTCATCTTCACTCACAGAACCAGGTCGATCCTCAACGGACATTTACCATCATCCTGTCCTTGTCATCTTCGGTTTTGTGAGGTTTGGTACATAGGGTTTAGGATGGAACATGTAAGAGAGATTTGGTGGAGGATCCTTCGACTGTGATTCCCACCACGGTAAACCAGATACAACCAAAAACATGCTGTACATATTCAGGGTGGATACGAGCCAATTATGTAGTTCATGATTCATGTCCCTCATTTATCGTCACGAGTTTCTAAATTGTCTCCTAATCTAAGATGGAAGTGCGATAAAGAATGAACGGAACATATCGGAAGCACTCATCAGGACAAGAACACGCACGTCGTTTGACATAATACTAAGAACCTCTGACGGGACCAGAGAAAGGAGGTTCAAAACAATGTGTTTTTCTAAACATGCAAGATACACAGGGGGTTCACACTTTTGCCACTGCGCATGCAAGCAAGCTCAATGTCGAGGAGGCTATGCGGTGCGGTTTGGTTTGGAGTTTCCTCAGTGTTGGCTTGGCTCACCGTGCGGCGCTAGCTGAGTGCAACCACAAGTTGCACCCCAATGGAAATCCCTTCGAATGTGGACCATGAGGGGGAAATGCAACATTTGCACTTGGTTGAGAGAAGTAGTGCGAGGGCTGAGAACCGAAGAAGGGTAAAGAAGACTGCAGGAGAGCAGAGGAGAAAGAACAGAGCAGTCGAGTGAAAATACACAGACACGCAGTAGAAGGGTAACGGCTTAAGGATAGTACAGAGGAGTACCGAAAAAGCAAAGGGCAATCACTACTCTCAACCAATAACTGCACATCACGACAAAATCTTTCCAGTGTCACGCTATGCCACGCTGCACACATGAAAACTGCGCTTTGCTTGCCTGCTGAAGGCTGAAGGTTTTTCTCTTGACACATTTCGGTTGTGACTGTCATGAACATTGTGGTACTGATGTCGGTGCCTTTTTTGGTTAGGTTGCAAGTTTAGACACCTTGTTATTTACTACTATTTAGTTTGTTTAGTGGGCAAAATGCAAGTCAGAAGGATAGAACATGGACCCTGCACAAGGATGACACGTTATTTTTTTCAAATAGAGATGTGTACATCGCCAACATGACAATAGTAGAGTCGAAGCACGCAGGAAAATTGTGAAACTCACTCATTTAGCTGAAGACACAAACAGGTGCGAAGTGTGTGACACTGGATAGTTGCTTGTTCATGTCCATGGGTTACCGCTGGACCAGTGACCACGGTTGGAACCACAACTGACACGACCAGGTCTTAGTTACCGCCTTGGCTCTTCCGCAGCTGGGGAATTCATTTTCTGCTTGGTGCGATTGCCGGAGGAGACGGCGCAAGCGACATTTGGCTGAATCACCGAGTCCTCCCTTCTTGAAGTCATGAGATTTCTTCTGGGATATTAAACATCTGGAAGATCAAGATGCTGTCTGCCAGACTGCTTGTTGTGAGGAATCTGAGTTTCTATCCCATCGACTTGCAACTCGATGCAGACGAGGCACAAAGATATGCCTCGGATTTGGGTCGCTTGGACTGCACAGGACGCCGGATCCCCGGCTTTGTACAGGAAGACCTTGGTGAAACGGACTGAGGTATGTTGCTTGCGCTGCGCTCAGAGGTGCGTGATTGGGAAGAAGCTTGGAATCTCATTCATCGTCTTCGATTTTGTTGGAGCCTCAATTTATCTCGGGAGTTTAGCACCTGCAGACTTAGGAAATTCACCCTTGCGAGTCCTTTGACACTCGCGGAGAAATGCAAAGTCCACCTGAGATGCTAGAAGATGTTTGGGAGGATTTGCACATGCGCCACTTAGCGGAAGGCAAGAAATCACTTAAGATCACTTAAGTGGACCAGATGAAGACCAGAGCTGGATTTTGGATTTGAGTTGAGGTTTTTGTCCTCAAATCCCTGGACGCGTGTTCCAGCACTACCCGCTGGTAGGGAAGTCAGGCCCGGCGACGCATTTCAGGGGTCAAGAGAAATCGACTGCCACGGGCATATGTTTGAAGCATCAATGTGGAACCGTTTGCGATGATAATGATGCAGGCAAGACAGCGCTGTCTAGCATTTTGACTCCTTCACAAAGACTGCGAATGCTTCTGAGTTTAGTGGGAGATGCCACTCATCAAGCAAATTGGCGACCTGACCCCTGCTTGTGATCTTTTGTCGGTCATGAGACCATTTTGTGGGCCTCAACTCCTTTGATTTACCGGGCTTGTACATTTCTGAGTCTCCTTTAGAATTTAAAATGGTGACAGGCGGTCTGGAAAAGCGTCACACATAGCGAAAGGGAGTAAGGATAGTGCCCAGAAGTGCGCACACACTTTCATCTATTGGAACATGAGCTTTCATCCATTGTGGTTCATCTATTGTCCGTCATGTTGCTAAGCACAGACAGCAGGGCACGGTTTCCGAGTGCAACTAGGAAGCTCTTCTGATGGCAAGACACACCAACCCCGACTCCTAGTGGCGATGCCGTTGTTCCTAGTGGCGTCCTCTTGTTCCTAGTAGTAAGGCCAGGAGCACCCCTAGTAGCGTCCGGACGCTCCGTTCGTAGCGATGCCCTTTGTACATTCGGTCTGAATGCCCAAGC